AGGCTGTAGCCTGGCCCCTAGCTTCTGCGTTTCTTCCTTTCTCCTCCCACCGCCCTGAGGCCTTCCTTTCCCCCCCTCCAGCCCGGCCCTCCCCAGCCTCCCTGCTGGCCTCCGCCCTGCCTCACCGCCCCCCCCCCACTCCCGCCCGGCAGAGTGGAGGTGCTGGTGGGAGGTGCCAGTGAGTAAACGCTACCGGCACCTCCAGCTCAGCAGCCTCTCCCTTTGTTCCTCCCAACCCCAGTCATGGCCGAGTACGGGACCCTCCTCCAGGACCTGACCAACAACATCACCCTTGAAGATCTGGAGCAGCTCAAGTCGGCCTGCAAGGAGGACATCCCCAGTGAGAAGAGTGAGGAGATCACTACTGGCAGTGCCTGGTTCAGCTTCCTGGAGAGCCACAACAAGCTGGACAAAGGTGGGGGGCGGGCGGGTCCCCAGCCTCTCGGGCCCAGTCCGTTCAGCAAAGGGAAGCACGCTGAGAGCAGCGGTCCTCACAGCCAACACGGCACCACTGTGTTACTGTGAGACGCGAGAGCATCGGTCTGTCACAGGACACTAAAATACGAGTTAAAAGTGATCGAAGTAAAACCACACGTTCTAACATTCTCCCATCCACGGCCAGAGAACGCTGCGCTGGGACAGGCTTGGGGCGGGGAGTTGGTCTATTAAGATGGCCCTGAAAGGCAAGTGGATTTCAAAGGCAGGGTCCAAAGGAGGGCACGCTTGGCAAAGGACCAGAGTCACACAGGCAGGAGCGTCCGGTGTGTCCGGCAGAGCCAGGGAGCCCGCTTAGCTTGCCTGGGGGCCGAGTAAGTTTAGAAGTGGCTGGAAAGGTACGTAAAGGCTGTGCCATGGAGGGTCTTGAGGGCCGGGGTGTGAGCAGGCAGGGTGAGCCGCCAGAGGGCCCTGGGGGGTGAGCAGGGAGGGAGGCTGAGGTGGACACGGTCCCATTAGGAGGCACCTGCAGTAGTCCGAGGGGAGGAGCCGCGGAGGAAGGACTGAGGGCGTCCACGGTCTCCTAGAACTGGCCCAGCTGCGGAGCGCGTCCTTCTGGCCACACGCGTGCCTTGTCTAGAGACTGCACCCCTCCAGTCCCGCACGTGCTAGCAGGAAATTCTGACGCTGACTTGGAGAAAGAGTGGAAGGGGCACAGGGTGGGTGTAGGGTATCAGGAAGGCCAATTCATTTTTCTTTTCTCCCCTGCCCACAACATGGGACCTTCTATTTAGCCTGAATCCCTCCTCCTCACTCCCGAAGTTGGGAACTTCACTGACCAACCACCTGCTCTTCCTGGGAACAGCCCTCTGTATTGTTGGTGTCTTAGCTTTCTGGTCCTGCTCAGGAGCTCCTTCTCTTCCTGTGCTGCCCCCTCCGATAACCAGGTTCCAGAAGCCCGGTCTGGTAGGGCAGGGGAAGCCAGCCTCTACAGCCTGGCTGACCCTGTTTCCTGCCTTCCTCCAGACAACCTCTCCTACATTGAGCACATCTTTGAGATCTCCCGCCGCCCTGACCTACTCACCATGGTGGTGGACTACAGAACCCGTGTTCTGAAGATCTCGGAGGAGGATGAGCTAGACACCAAGCTAACCCGTATCCCCAGTGCCAAGAAGTACAAAGGTAGGAGCCCGTGTCTCTAACACGCACCTCTGCCCCCTCCCGTGGGTGATCCTTGGAGTGCGTGGGTTTGGGGCAAATGGAAGCGGACGTGGTGGGCCTGTCTCCCATGCCTTCCGTCCCTGAACACCTCCCTTTTTGCCCCCCAGACATTATCCGGCAGCCCTCTGAGGAAGAGATCATCAAATTGGCTCCGCCACCGAAGAAAGCCTGAGCGAGGGGGAGGAGAGGAGGAAGGTTGGACCTTCAGTGGACCACTCCCTTCCCCCAGCCTCCAGGGGAGGGGCAAGGGCAACCCCCCCAGTCTACCCACTTACTAACCTGGTCCTAACCCCCTTACTGTGCGCGTGTGTGTGCGTGTGCGCACGCTCTGGCTGTCTGTCTATATGTCTAGCTCATCTAGTTCCTCCTCCTCGTGAGGGGATGGGGGTCAGGCTGGGGGGGGGGGCTTCGTTTCCCCACTTTAGGGGGAGGTGGGGGCTATTTCTATGCAAATAGAAATGGGCACATTCCTCCTACTGCCCTTTCCTCTATGGCTAAAGTGTGGGAGCAGAAAGGACCTGTATTTTCCTACACTGAGGAGCCAAGCTAGAGGGAAAGCATGGGGCGAGGTGGGTGCATCTAGTGAAAAGCAGTGGGAGGGAAGGTGGTCACCCAACCCCCACCTGGAAGGGGCAAAGAAAAGCCAGAGTTCCACGTCTGTACCCCGTGCTGGATCGGCGGAGGGATCCTTTCTAGATGTTCCTCGGGTTGGAGGGCCTGGGCCCCAGCAGGTCCCTTTTTGCTCCCCTCCCATGGGCCTAGGATGGGTATGAGCCAGGGATCTAATGAGAGAGGACCACAGGATCCTTCCCTGGTCCCAAAGTACAAACTTCATGAGCACCCAGCTAGATACTAGAGTCCCCTCACCCCCAAGAGCCCATGCTGGGAGCAGGCCACACTGCACCAGACATGGGGATGTAGACAGAGTGGTGTCCTCTTTGCCACTCCCTTTATTCCTATTCAGATTGTTGCACACACGGACTCCAAACCTAGGGAGGCTGAGGAGTGAGCTCCTTAGGTCTTAGCTCCAACCCTGCCCCACCCACAGGGTCCCAGTGTGGTTACTACAGGTGACCTTCCCTCTCTGGGGTCTAGAGTACCCCGAGCAGGAAAGAAAGGAAGAAGCTAATTAGAGCCTTTTCCTTTGCACTGACCGCCCCCCCCCCAACCCAGTTCAGTCCAGGAGGGGACTTTGCTAGCCCGTCTCCCTTGATATCCCGGCGTGTTGGGCTCGTGAATGCCTCCTAGCCACATCACTAGACCCCAGCCTCCTTCCTGTGCCCAGATGCTCTCCCCACCCTGACCGTGCTAACTGTGTGTACATATAGATCTACATATATGTATATTAAACCCGCACTGCCATGTCTGCCCTTTCCTGTGGTGTCTAGCATTAACTTATTGTCTAGGCCAGGGCGGGGGTGGAGGGGAACGCCACGGCCAAGGGAGTGCCAGTCAAGTTGCTACACAGTCAAAATGAAAATTAAACTTTAAATTCACACGCCATCTCAAGAGACTAGAGAAAGTTGAAGTTCAGAGCTTGTAAGATGTGGGAGCAAAACGTAAGTGGGAGGAGAGGGCTGGCTGTTGGAAGAGGGAAGAAGCCAGACTGGCCGGAGAGCAGCTTGTCCCTCCCCGCCCGGCCCGGCCCCGCCGTCCCCTCTGGCCACTGCTGCGGACACCTGCCTTAACACGTCCACCTGGAGTACTCCACAGTTCTGCCTTAAAGGACCTCCCCCCGTTCACCCAGCCCTGTCTGGCTTCTCCCTCAAGGACAGAGAGATACTTGTCGAATTGGGAGGGGGGGAACTGAGCACGAACTGTCCTTCCAGTCAGGATTTATGTGATGTGAGAGTGTGTGTGAGAGAGAGAGGGAAGGAATAGGAGCCTTCTCTGAAGAGAGAGGGTGAGTTGGGAGGAGGGAGACAGGGTCATTTTCAGCAGAGTCTAGTTGTATCTCTGTAAGGCCAAAATCATCTAAAAAGACTAACCTGCCCTCCCACCCCCGTACGGCTGTGAGATTGTCCCTATCCTAATGCTCCTCTGTCTGCAGTGTGCACGGCCTTGTTCTAACCCTGGAATAAAGGTGACTGACTGTAATGTATCTGATTCTAGAATTTCTGTGAAGGATTTGGGAGCCTTTGACTGGGAAGGGAGGGTGAATACCCCCACATCCCTCACTGCAGCCTGGAACAGAGGCCAGGGAAACGTTTAGCCCTCGTGGTGCCCTTCCCTCCCCAGTCCCCTAAGTGGCCCTGAGCTATGGGGCTGACCCTACGCACATGAGTCTCCAGCTGGCGCCTGCGCCTGCACACACAGCTATCCCAGACCAGACCGCCCAAACTGCAGTTAAGGACAGGGCCAGGCACCTACGCTGGCACGAACAGAACTGGCCCAGGAGGAACAAACGGGCCACACATCACACACACAACAGCAGTCAGAAAGAAAAAAAAAAAAAAAAAGCTTTACTGAGAGAAAATACACAACAAATTCCAGAGTGCACGGGTTTCTGGCCACTCTGTCACCCCACCAGTCGTGGGAACGCAGACCACTCAGTCACCACACGTCCCCTACCTCAGGGGGGACGTGCAGCAGCTCACATCTGGTCTGACAGTCGCTAAGAAAAAGGCCAGCAGGAAGGAGTGTCTGGGAATTCCATCCTTTCTCTGTTCCCTTCCTTCCTGACCTGTTCTAGTAGAATCAGACTGCCCCAGGGTGCAGAATTCCTGGTTGGGGGCGCAAAGAAATAGCAGCACAAGCAATAGGGCAAGAATTCAACTAGGCCTTTCATATCCGTGACCAGTGATGGTAGACGGGTGTCCAAGCCCCAGCCATCTTTATCCTTAAACGATGTGTCCCTCAATCGCAAGGTATCAAGAGGCGGACAAGCTGTAATGGCCAAGCCAGGAGGGCTTTCTCTACTACACTCTTGGACTAAGAATGGAGCGGCTGGGGTGAGGTGGGTGGCTTAAACAATCAAGCAGCTAATGCTAAGAGTGAACGTGTCCTCTGTCACATACAGTATGAGGAGAGAGAGTCTGCAGTGGCAGAACCCTTCCTGAAGTCCGAGTTCAGTCAAGTTTTAAAGATGGGCCAGCCTCTGGTTAGGAGAGCCATCCTGGGAACCCCCACAAGACAGGAGAGGTAGGAGATCTGAGGCAAAGAACTGAAAGGAATCTTCCTGTTTTCCCAACCCCAAAACCGCGGCAGGAGGCAGGGAAGGGCAGAACTGAGGATCCTTCTGTTCTTGAGTCTCCAAAAACTGAAGGAGTTTGCCCCGATCTCCAATGGCCACACACACAGGGTGGGCTGAACCCAGTGTGACCACAACATTATTACTTCCGCGCTCTCCTTTCAGTCCCTTTATTGTAGTCATAGAGAATATATAGGTATTTAAAACTGACAATTTTATCGTGATACATCCAAGTTTGACTTGCTTTTTAATATATTTATAGATATAAAATTAGGCCTCTAACAGTGACAGGGCAAGGAGATTGCTGCCACCAAACAACTTTTTTTAAAAGTAACAGAAGAGGTAACACATCCTTCCTATTCTTCCTCCACTTCTGCCCCTCCTCCCACCCCCCCAGCCTCCCTCACCAGACCTAGTTAGGGGTGATGGGATTAAGAGAAGAACGTGAAGGACACATCATCAAGTGTGAAACACTGTGGGAAGTACAAAGGATGAATGGGTGGGAAAGAAAGTCAAGAGTGTGGCATGGTTACGGGCTCTAAGGACTTCCCAGAAAAAAACAAGATCCTGGGTTGGGGTTGTTCAGGGGGGAAAAAAAAAACCAATGCAACTGTCACAGACTTTTAAAAAATAAAGAAGAAAAAGGCCAAAAACCTAAACCAAAGAGAGAGTGGCACTTCCACCACCCCCACTCTGGCCCATTGGTACTGAACAGCCAGTTATCCCCACCCCCCCACCCAAGAAACAAGGGAGATTAAAGAAAAGGAAACCCAATTTCCTACCCCAAACCAGTTAACAAAATAGGCTCCCCCCTCCCAAAAAACAAGGCTTTGGGGAGAGGCCATTTCTGCTGAGCCCTGTGCACCTCTCCATGGAGCTCATCCCGGGGCTTGGCTCCCATTCTTAGCTACTCCGCAGGTTCACTCCCCCTCTGGTCTGTCTCCTGGGATGTCTTTCTTTTTTATCTAAAGCAAAAAGTCCAAAGTGCGTGTCTGCTGAATGTAAGGGCCTGGGACAGGAAAGGGCTGTCCAGGCAGGATCGGGTTGGCAGCCCCAGCCCGCCCCTCCTGGGTACGAGGCCTCAGGACGGCATGCACTGCACCCGGTCGGGGCCCTCCTCCTCGTCCGATGTGTCTGAGGAGCTGGGAGACTCATCGGAGTCTGCGTCTGTGGCCCCAACCCCAGGTTCTCGCCAGCGCTGTAGAATGGGAAAGGCTTGTTAGTAATTTCCCTGGAACGAGGACAAGCCTGTTAGGTCTTAACTCTAATTCAGATGCTCTAGGCCAGGGGCAGCAGAATTTTTCTTAAAGGGCCAGATAATAACTATTTTAGAGTCATGGGCCATAACCCTGTTGCGATTATTCAACTCTGCTGCTGCAGAATGAAAGCAGCCACAGACAACATAAATGAATGGGTATGGTTGTATTCCAATAAAACTTTATTTGCAAAAAGCAGGCAGCATGCCAACTGCCAGAGTTTGCTAACCCCTGCCCTAGGCCTCTTCTGGCACAAGGAAAAAAAGGTCACCCTATTCTCATCCAAGTCCTGACCGGGCCCGACCCTGCTTAGCTTCCGAGACCAGACGAGATGCGCTGCCATCACGCTGCTAGGGCCATAGGCAGGTCACCCTATTCTCAACTCCTTCCCCACCCTCATGCTCTGCCTTCACTTATGAAGACAGCACTCTTGTGCGTGGCGATGGGGAACAGAAAGCAGACACCGCCCATTTTGCCCGATGGTTCTTCTAAGGCTACATCAGGGCTCTGATGGGGATGGAAGAGAATGGATCGGACACCCCACCAAAACCACCTGATCTCTTTTTAAAGTAGCGAGGAAGCGTGCACTGGAATGTTTCACCCTCGAGAGCGTCACTGCCCTTGGGAGCTCACCTCCTACGTCAGCTTACCCGGTGGTGGCGTCTCTGTCTCAGGTGATGCATGAGGAACCAGAGCATGTGACTATCGAACAGGTCGGTGTGGTGCAAGCTATCTTCATCCCGCTCCCGTTTGTTCTTCTTTATCACCTGGAACCAAACAGGGTTGTAGGGTTGGGGGTTGGGGGTGGGTAATGAACAGGAACCCTGGACCTGATCAGAAAAGACTGGCTTTCTATCCCAGTGAAAACTTCTTTTAGGAACTGTTAACCTGAAGGGGAGCTAAATTACATCAGGAAAGTATGAGCCAGGTTTATCCACTGAGAAGCCTGGGAAGCTCTAAAATAGAATGATTCTTCCTCAAGACACCGCACCCCCACTCCACCGTGAACTAGAGGCACTCCGCAGCTGCCCCTGAACCCCTGCGTTGGGACTACTCCCCCGAGCAGCAGTCACAGCAATGGCGGAGGGGGAGGTGGGGGCGGTGTTAGAGCAGTGCCTTTAAAGAACTGGGCAGGCAGCTCTTCCTTCCCATGACAACGAAGCCTCAAAATGTAACGTGGACATCTGCAGTCAGCTACTCACATCCTTCAGCCCTGTCAGCTCGGTGGAAGTTTCAGCTGTGGGTGCCCAGATCTTGACATCATGGTCGAGGCCACTGGTTGCCAGTACAGGCAGGTGAGGGTGGGGCTCGAGACAGTTTACCTGGTCAGGAAGAAAGGAAAGCACAAGCTCAGGGGTGTATGGGAAGAGGGCTTAAAAAACCACTACTCACCTTGAGGCAAACACAGTCCTCAATCAGAGCTGAGGCAGCTGCTGGAAGGCAGGCCCAACCATCATGAGCGTGGGCCAAGGGCCCTGGGGGTGGAAGAAACACTGGACACAGACTGGGTATAAGACCAGGCCCATCTCTCATTTCCTAAGTATAGGTAGGGGTGGCCTCACCCTAGACACAGCCCTAGGGGTGGGCGGGTGACTGGCCAAGCTTACTGCTGGCTTCACAAAAAGGCAGTGAGGTCCAGATGACCTCATCCACTCCGGATTCCACAGCTCCAACTTGCCCAAGGCTGGGGAAAAAAAACAAAACAAAACAAAACAAAAACCTCTCCGTGGCTTTCAGCAAATGGCAAATAAATTTTTAAAATTGAAGAAAGCAACAGCTGCCGCAGAACCCCCAGAAAAGAGTCCAGGGACAATTACATTCCCCTGGCGCTGTGGAGTCAAACTGGAGGGAGGCACAGGCTGGGAAGAGGCGGAGCTGGGGAGTGAGCAGGTAGTGGAGGCTCAGGTATGCTTGTGAACCCTGCGCGCCCCAGGGTACAGCACCCTGCTGTCTGCCCCGAAAGCCCAACAGGCTCAGCTAAAGGGTGGCACAGTGTAGGGTGATAGCTTCCGCGGGCACCCACGGTGTCCGTATCAGCCACCTCTGGGTATAGTCACTGAGCAGGAGAAAGGTTCTCCCGCAGACAGGCAGGCCTTCTGGCTTAGGCAGCTTCCTTCTGTCTGGAGGCACCCATGCCCCCTGCTGTCTGACTTGGAAACATCAGCCTTCCAAATGGTAGGGCAGGGCAGGGTAGGGCAGGGGCAGGGCAGGGGCAGGGCAGGGGCAGGGCAGGCAGCTCCCATGGCCACTGGAAGAGCTGGTCCCAGATCTAGCTGCTAATAAAGCATTTTCGGGCTTTCAGTCAGATGAGGACTAGATAGGAAAAGCCCCCGGAAGGAAGAGGGTGTGGTCCTAGCCGCTCCTCACCTGCCCCCCCATCCCATCCCATCCCGCCTTGCAGCTGCCCTGTAGGCCAAAAAAACAACCCCTGGCAAAAAGCCTCTTTTATCTTTTACTTCTCTCTGCACCAGGCTCTTCTGCCTGGCCTGCACGCGCAGAGGGAGCAGCTGAGGGGAAACTGGGGGCAGCATGGAAAATAAAACTGACCCACAGACTTCCAATCTTCTTTGTTCTTCCATTTTATAAGTAAATGAAAATGCTCCAGAAAAGACTGAAGCTAAAGCCTGAGCCTAAGAATAAAGGAGAAACCCCATTTCTCTTCTCCTCTTCTCACTCCCCATGTCAGCTCATCGCAAAGTTTACACTGGGGCTCTCTTAGGCAGTGTGGAAGTTTCCGGCATCTGCAGCAGGAGTGGGCACTAGACAGGGACTCCACTGCCTGAGAATATGATCAAAAGATACGTGACAACTTACACATACAAACCTGAACTCATTCATCCACCTCCTGGTAAGCCTTTGCTAACCCCTCTATTCTGACCTAGCTCTGCTGGAGCATGTCAGTAAAATCAGGAAGCACAGAGGAGAAATTCCTTGGGACTTAAGACTAAGGGCAAAGCCAAGGGAAAGAGGAGTTAAGAGTCATAGCACACAGCACCTGGGTTGGAGCCCGCCGGGGGAGCCGACAGAGAGCTTCTGGGCCAGGTCTGAACGCCAGGACTTACCCTGCCAGTAACAAGCGTGAGCAGAGCCAAGAGCTCCAGCCTTAAGAGGACCGGCCTGGGGGACGCAGGGATAGGAAGGGGCAGCGAAGTGCTCTGGGAGACTAAGGACTGTCCTCTGATGTCATCCCCCACCCCTGTCCCTGAATGGGAACAAAGAAAGGACTAGAGTCTGAGCCAAAACCAGAGTTGAGAGACCTAGGCAAGGCAGATGAGAATTTCTAAGATGCTTTCTGGTTCTAATATATTCTACTTTATGATGAGCTGCTCTGAATCTGCTCTTGCGGCTGGTGCCTGTTTGACCCACTGCAGGGAAGTTAGGACCAAACAACAGAGGGATCAAGTGGGGACACACAGATCATCAAGCTCACACAGGGGCAAGCACAAGCCGGGAACCTTGTTTCAGGGTACAGTCTCTCTATCTCTTGTTCTAGTCTCTCACTCTTGTGACCACTCAATCCAGGCTTGGGGCCCACCCATCGCAAGCAGGTGCCCTCCCCACCTGAGCACCTAGATGCATCACCAGACTCTGATTCTGGCCGAGGTGAAAGCAAACTGGCCTGCAGAGTGGTCTGGGAGAATGGACAAGTGCTGGCCTGGGGGAGGGCATTCAGCCCTGCGTCTCTCTGGAACAGAACGCAAGACAGTTTATGATCTAGAAAGGATTCACTGGCCCCTTCTGACTTCCTTTTGACTATACGCCTACTGCAGAATTCTCATGGAGACTCCAGTGTTTTAGTTTGTTCCCTGCAGATGACAGAAGAGGACCTACGGGAGAGTAGGACACGAAGCAGGCAACAGGGAGATACACCTTCAGGCTCGGGACCCCTCTCGTTCAGGCCGCAGAAGCCTCGGATCTGTACTGGCCCCAAGTCCCAAAAATTTAGACAAAACCAGACAGAAAACAGTCTGAAGTAACTTCACACTAGGACAAGAAACACAAGGAAAGGGAGCCTGATTGCAGGGAACCATTTTAAATTCCACCACCACTTTCAGGATGAGCCTCATGAAGAGATGGCTGGACTCTCTGCACCCCCCAAAGCTTAGAAGGAATGGAACTGAAGAGAAACCAAGCTGTCTCAGCCACTCCCTAGGGGCCCTTCACCAGACTACCTAAGGAAATCGGTACAAGGCAGTCTCCCACACTGCCTCTTTCAGATCTTCTGTGGTCCAAAAACCTTACAGTAGGAAGCCACTCAACTCCCTTCCTAACTCTGGGTCTCAAAAAAGAAAAAAATATATGGTTAGCTAGATGCACTGTAGAAGCTGACCATGCTTCACTCCCCAACTCAGGATCCTCAGGCTTCTTTTTGGCCCTGCCTCTGTGCAGGCGGTCTAGAATTCAAAGGACAGGCGGTCTGTGATAGGATCACAGCCTGCATAGCAGGCTGCTCAGTCATTATTTTAAAAAAATAAATAAAAATTTTTAAAAATTAAAATATTTTGCCACGTTTGCTCTGTCCCTATTAGCTCCTTCTAGCTTGTATCCGCTGACCCAGGATCTCTACAAGATCACTACTTGGCTACCCTACGGGATGAGGCGCAAGGCACGGAGTGGAGGCCTCTCTGGCACACTGCAGGATGGAGCGCCCTCAACTCCAATGCTTTTCTTTTAGAAAAGGTGCCTGCCTAGAAATCCCTCATTCAGGCCAGAGGTTTTTCCCTAAGATCCCTTTCTCTCCTCACTAAACCATGCCTTAGAGAGGGAGAAGACAGAAAAAGGAAGCCAGGATTCCACCCAAACCTCAGCAGCCCCAGACTCTACCGCCGTTACTGTCCTGGCTAGACCCCAGAGATGCGGCACCATGCTGCCCTGGTGCGAGAACTGTGTGGCCCTGCTCGCACCTACCTTACCAGCGAGAGAGCAGCGAGTCGGCCAGCTGAGCGCAGCATACTCACCACGCCTCCCTTGTCCCCCTCCATGAACTGAACGATCTGGCAGGATGCCTTCTCCCAGAGGAAGATGTGCCCGCAGTCACTGCCGCTCACCACAAACTCACTCTTGGGGCCATAGAAATTGACGCCTTTTACTGAAATGATAAATGAGGGAAGAGACCACATGAGAGTTGGCATCAGGCCTGTATATATTTACCTCATAGGGACTTTAGTTATTCACAAACTCTAAGTCAGCTAAGAGCCAAAGAATTCCTTTCATTTCCACAAAACAAATCAAGGGACTGTGTGTATATAACAGACAGACCAAGAGTCATGTCAGTCCCAGAGACTGTTTCTAGGCCCCCAAAGAGCTCCATGGGGCCGAGGGGCTGTAGTCCCTCAGCAGCAGCCTCAGTCTCACTGGTCTCCGCCCTAAGGAGCACCGAGAACTGTGGAGCACTTCCGGCCTCAGTGATGCCTTACTAGTCCCAGCCTGAACCACCCCAGCCCTGCCCACTCCTAGGCAGCCCTCTCCTACGCCTGAGGATCACCCTAGGTAAACGCCCTTAGTACCACCTTGTCTGCTTCCTGGGCCATCCGTCAGCTGGCCTGAGAATGAGGGAGGTCTAGGCCACAACTGCCTGTCAGAAGCATCTGAACCGTGCTTGCTACCAAGACTGAACGACACGGCTCCGCTCCCTGGAATTACTAAGAGAAGCTGGGTGTCCCAGAGACTCTGTGCAGTTCCATGGCCGTCATGGGACTGCACTCCGTTTCTGTCCGCCTGTGGACTAAGTTCCAAGCACCGGTTCTCCTGCTCACCTCCCCAGCTCAGAAGAGAAAGGACAAGTCACTGCTCTCTCCAAGTCAAAATTATGACAGATACCTGTTAGGAGCGGTGTCGACAACAAAGAGCAGTGGCCACCCCAACTTTTCTGTACATTAGAGTCACACAGGGAGCTTTTAAAAGACCTCTATCAAGCTGTACCCCATCCCAATTAAATCAGAATGTCTGGGGGTAGAAGCCAGGCTTTAAAGATCGGCAGGTGAGGGCGCCTGGGTGGCTCAGATGGTTGAGCGTCTGCCTTCGGCTCAGGTCATGATCTCAGGGTCCTGGGATCGAGTCCCGCATCGGGCTTCCTGCTCCTTGGGAGCCTGCTTCTCCCTCTGCCTCTCTCTCTGTCTCTGTCTCTCATGAATAAATAAAATCTTTAAAAAAAAAAGATCGGCAGGTGACTCCGCGGTGCAGCCAAGCGCAGGAACCACACCCAGAACACACATGGCCAGTCTTCGCCGCAGACTGGGCAGGAGGCGCTCACACCACGCCTCCTCCTCTGCCTCATTCAAAAGAACTTACCTCCTCTGCCCTAGAGCTAGCAGCTCACTTCCCGCCCCCCCGCCCCGATTTCAGGCAATTCAGTACCCCAGACTGAGGAGGGCTTTCCCAGATTCCCTAACAAGCCCGCTAAGCCTGAAGTTACCCGAAATCTCAAGAAAAACACAGTCACTCAAGTCTCCTTATGCCCAAATGAGGTCACATCGCTGTGGTGAGAGAGGCTCCAGGCGCCCTGCGCTCGAGCACAGCAGGCCTGTGAAAGCTCCAGCCCAAGGAGGGACATCCTCTCACTGCTCCGACAGGCTGCCCTGTCCTTTAGGTCGTTCTGATCTGTACAGCCTGAACGAAATGCTGCTGTTCCCCAGGCCAACAGACAGCAACGAGAAAGAGCGGCTCACCTGTGGCATTATTCCTGTGGCCCTTATATCGCTTCACATACTGGGCCCCATCGCTGTGAGAGGAGTTGAAGAGGTAAATGTCTTCGTCATTGTAGCTGGCCAGGAGCTCTGCCAAGAACAAGCACACAGCAGTGAAGGCAAAGGCTGAAAAAGAGCCGGGACCAGGAGCTGGGGGCTGGGGTGCAGCTTCTTGCCAGTGGTGCCCCCTCCGAATACCCAGGTAGAGCACCCATCTCACTCAGCTGGAGCTGCAGGCAGATCGGGCGTCCAGGGTAGACTAAGAACACACTGCCAACCCAGGGGTAGCAGAATGCTCAGGAAGATCACACCCATTAACTCAAGAGCGAGCCAGACGCATAAGCACCTGCTCAGGCACGGAGCCTGGGCTTCAGGGCAGGCCCTGCCAAATCTCATCGGCAGCATTCTGCAAGTGGCGCCTGGCATCTCCAAGGGTCCTCTGCTGCGTCCTCCCGCTCTGTGCTCACCGTCAGCAGCTACTCCCCAGCCGCTCCGCTTGGAGCTGGAGCACAGCGGTGAGCACTGGAGGCGCGTGCCTCGCGGGCTCAGCAGCTCCCCAGACGGAGGGGGCGTGCCAGCCTAGCAGCTGGGCCCTGCGCACGTACCTGTGCCGTCGTGGCTGTACACGAGACAGGTGATGTTTGCTTTGGACTCACTGTTCACCTGCAATAAGGAGCAGATACCGACTGATGCCCCACCCCCCCACCTGTTACACCACCTTCAGGAAACAGGTTCTCCTTCACACTCCCCACTATCTTCTCCCAGAGGGTGAGAGAGACAGAGACAGAGACAGGAATACAACCAGTGCGATGTGGCCAGCTCAGGGGAGAGGGCTTTCTGCTGGTGCTTTTCCGCGTGCTAGCCACGTGACACACACTCTCATCTCCTTGGGCCTCACCATCACGGGGCAAGGCAATGATCTTTACCTCTCTACACTGTGTCAATAAGAAAACCTAGGCCAACGGAGGTGAAGTGACTGCCCAAGAGCACAAAGCTGGTAAGTGGTGGAGCCGGGATTCAAATCCAGGGAACGGACTCGAAAGTCCAAGCTCCTCCCACCAGGCCAACACTTTTGGGGGCAGCCTTGGAGTTGAGTCAGGAAAGCTGGGAACCACTGGCCCCTCATGAATCTTACCAGGTGATGAGGACAGAATTTCTTGAGCACTCCATTGTTCTCGTTCTCATCAATTTTCCTCTGGTCGTAAATCCTATAATGGAAGAAACAACAGAATGTTAAAACTTACAAATGGGGCGTCTAGGTGGCTCAGTGGTTAAGCATCTGCCTCCAGCTCAGGTCATGATCCCGGGGTCCTGGGACTGGGTCCCACATCGGGCTCCCTGCTCAGCGGGGAGCCTGCTTGTCCCTCTCCCACTCTTCCTACTTGTGTTCTCTCTCTCTCTGTCAAATAAATAAATAAAATCTTAAAACAAACCAAAACAACAACTTACAAAGTGACCCCTTGAACTGCAAAGTAGTGGCAAGAACAGCAGTCAGCTGGATGTCAGGACAGATAAAGGACATCACCCCACTAAGATTCTGGCTCCCGCTCTTCCCTGAAGGCCCTCCTTCTCCCAGCCCTTTCTGAATCCTGACTCTTATCCAGACACTCCCCAGTTCAAGCGGTAATCCTAAATCACATTAACCTGAAGGGCCTTCTCTCTCCTCTCAGCTTTGAATCGCTTACTACTTATTTCTACTGAAATAAGTCCTTTATTGCAGCCTTTATTGCTACAGAGGCCCCGCTCCTAGAAGTCCGTGGGTCTTCAAGCCTGTCTTGGCCTCTGACTTGGCCCGGTCTCCCTCTCGCTCCTCACAGTGATTACAAACCCCCCCCCAGGATCTCAAGACTTCTTCTCTCCTGCCTTTATTCCCATCCAACCAGTGTCCCCTTTCCTCATCTCTGCGATCCAAACTCGGACCATTCCTTCCGACACCTAGGACAGATGTCATGAGCCAGGTATCCTGCCAGGTGCTGGACACACAGGAGCAACAACCCACCGCCTGTGTGCTTCCTCCCCATAGCTGCTCTTTCCACTCCTCCGAGGACCTCTTTCCGTGAGTCCTCAACCTCTTCCTCGTGCCTATCTGCCCATTTCCTAAACCCTCCTCTGCTGACTTCCCACTACTGCTTTTTCTGTCCTTCCCTCTCGTAGTCAAATTACTGAAAAGAGCAATCTGCATTCAGTGTTTTCACTTCATTTCCTGTTCCCTTCTCAATCCATTCCAATCTAGCTTTGGCCCTCAACCCACCAGTGAGACTTCCCTGGCTCAAGTCACCAGTGGCCTGACAGCCTCCACCCACAGTCTACTCTTCAGGCCTCTCTCTCTCCTCTTGACATCGTTCACTACGCCTTCCCTAAAACCGCTGCCTTCCTTGATGGTCAACCACCCCTTCATGGTGTTCATGAGCTTGTCTGTCTTTAAGCTCTTAAATGCTAATATTCCCTGGAGGTTTGGTCTGAAGTTCTCCTCTGACTGTACGTAGGCAAACTATGACCTACACGGAGGTTTTGCCTAGATTATTTGTAGTATCCTTCTAACTGACTTCCTTGCTCATGCTGTCCCCAGAATTATTCTAAAATGCAACATTTTATGTAAATTCCCTGCTTAAAATCTCTTCAGTGATTCTGTATTTTCTACTAAATAAAGTCCAAACTCCTTAGTAGGACTCTCCATCTCTTCTCAAAGATCCTATATGTGATACAAGAACAAACAAAACAAAAAAGCAAGGCTTCCTTGAACACACCGTGTCACAGCTGGGGTTTCTACCTCTACACGCACCGGCCCCTCTACCTGAAATGAAAAACTCATTTCCCATTTTGAGTATTTCCTCTGTGAGAAAGAACAGCATGGGAGAAATGGTTTCTCCCATGTTTAAGGAGTCTGATCGGAGTTCAAATACTAACTCTGCTACTTAGTAGTCTGCTACTGAGTAGCTGAGTAATCCTGGGCGTTTTCTTAATATTTTCAATCCTTAATATACGCGTTTCTCCAAAACGCTCCTTAAAGGCAAAGTCTATCTAGTCAAGTGTGTGTCTAGCACATAGAAGATGCTCAGTAAACGCTGGATGAATAGATGAATGAATCAATACATGTTTGTATTCTCCACAACTTCTTGCTTAATATCCTGCATTAAGAGAATTATCTGGAAATCTTTACTAAATGAATGCCCCAAAATGAAAAGACAAACAGGAGACTGCTGTACTGCCAATTACTCCTCCTCAGCAAACACAGCATCTGATAATCTGATGTTTTTCCTCTGAACAAAATCTAAATCAACAGCTCTTAAATGTCACTAAGCCATCATAAACTTTGTAAGTCAGCAAGTTAGTAAAACATATTTAAGTATTCAATATTTTTGGTGTATGGACCATTCAGTGTTCGTCAGTATCTAAGGCTCTCTGCCCTTCCTCTTTATGAGCAAATCCTTAACTTCTTTCCCCTTTCTCCCATAATGATTTAAGAAGAACCTACTATATCCTAGATAGGACGCTAGACCAGGGGTTGGCAAGCTTGATCTTAAATGGCAAGACAGTAAATATCTTAAGCTGGCAGGCCATGTGGTCCCTGCCATAGTAGCATGAAAGCAGCCTTGGATAATATGTAAATGAAAGACCGTGGCTGTGTTTCAATAAAACTTTATTTATAAAAAAACGGGCAGTGCAGGAGCATCCGCGTGGATCAGTTAAGCATCTGACTTTGGCTCAGATCATGATCCCAGGGTTCTGGGATGGAGCCCAGCATCAGGCTTCCCGCTCAGCTGGGAGTCTGCGAGTCCTCTCCCCTTACCCCTGCCCCAGCTCCTGCTCTTTCTCTCTCAAATAAATAAAATCTTAAAAACAAAACAAATAAAACAGGCAGTACAGCTGGCCAGCTCCTGGCTGGGCTGGACAGTGCTGATACAAAGATGAATACAATTTTTTCCCCTATTTTCTGAGCATAGGACAGGACCTTGACATTTAAAAAAAATTTTTTTTGGGGGGGGGGGTGCGTCTGGGTGGCTCAGTCGTTAAGCGTCTGCCTTCAGCTCAGGTCATGATCTCAGGGTCCTGGGACCGAGCCCCGCATCTGGCTCCCTGCTCGGCAGAAAGCCTGCTTCTCCCTCTCCCACTCCCCCTGCTTGTGTTCCCTTTCTGTCTCCACTGTCTCACTGTCTCCACTGCCGTGGAACATCTTTTTATATATTTATTTGCGATCTATATACCCTCTTCAGTGAGGTGTCTGTTAAGTCTCTGACCCATTTTTTATTGGGCTGTTTTCTTGTTGAGTTTTAAGAGTTCTTCATATATTTTAGATAACAGTCTTGTATCAGATATGTCTTTTGCAAATATTTAATCCCAACCTGTGGTTTGTCTTCTAATTCTCTCAGACAGTGTCTTTCAGAGAGCACAAGTTTTTCATTTTAACGAAGTGTACCTTATCAACTATTTCACAAATCATGTCTTTGTTACTGTATCTAAGAAGGCATCACCACTTTTTATTCAACATCTGAGCAAGGCTGCAGGTGTGGCCGCTGCTCTCCAAGCTTCACAATGCCTCCCAAGGACAAGAAAGATGCCGGAAAGTCGGCTAAAAAAGACAAAGACCCAGTGAACAAATCTGGGGGCAAGGCCAAAAAGAAGTGGTCCAAAGGCAAAGTTTGGGACAAGCTCAGTAACCTGGTCTTGTTTGACAAAGCGACATAAGACTAACTCTATAAGGAAGTTCCCAACTATAAGCTTTTAACTCTAGCTGTTGTCTCTGAGAGACTGAAGATTTGAGGTCCTCTGGCCAGGGCAGCCCTTCAGGAGCTCCTTAGTGAAGTACTTATTAAACCGGTTTCAAAGCACAGAGCTCAAGTAACTTACACCAGAAACACCAAGGGTAGAGATGCCCTAGCTGCTAGTGAAGCTGCATGAACACAGCCCACCAACTGTACATTTTGGAAAACAAAAATTTATTAAATCAAAAATAAAAAGGCATCACCATACCCAAGGTCATCCAGGTTTTCTCCTATGTGATCTTCTAGAGGTTTTATTGTTTGGGGTTTTACTTTTAGGTCTGTGACCATCTGAGTTAGTTTTAGTAAAGGGTATAAGGTCTGTCTAGATTCCTTTCACATGTGGATGCCCAGCTGTTCCAGCACCATTTGTTGAAGATATTATCTCTGCTCCCCTGTATTGCCTTTATACCTCTGTCAAAGGTAAGTTGACTATATTTACGTGTGTCTGTTTAGGGCTCTCTAGTCTATTCCACTCATCTAGTTGTCTATTCTTCTGCCAATACTACACCATCTCCATGACTGTAGCTTTACGGAAGTCTTGAAGTTGGGTAGCATCAGTCCGCCAACTCTGTTCTTCCCTTTAATACTGTGTTGGCTTTTATGGATCTCTTGCCTCTCTATATAAACTTTAAAATCAGTTTATCAATATCCATAAAATAACTTGCTGGGATTTTTACTGGAATTGCACTGAATCAACAGGTCAAGTTGGGAAGAAGTTGACATCTTCACAATACTGATTCTTCCTATGCCCTTCACACATTTTAAATCAAATAAAGAGTGGTTTTAGCACTGTCTCAACACCCTTATGGCATCTCCACAGGCCTCCAGGTACCGTACTACCTTGTTACCTTAAGCCTCTCTCTTCCTTCCTCACCTCCTCTCCCCTCACCACCCCACCTGCCCTTCATCTAGTGTTCTCTCAGTGTTGCTGATATCAGCCTAAGACAGAAAAGCAAAGGGACTATTTATTATTTATGAGCCAGGGCCTATACCAAATCCTTTACCGATAAATTTACATGTCAACCAACCACCACAGGATTCATTGATCTGATACATTCTCCTTTTCTTCACTCTTGTCAATTCGTAAACCAACCCAAATAGGATTTAGTAGTAGGCACCCACACCTCCACCACCTCTACTTGTCTACTTTCTCCTTTCTTCCCCCCACCCTTTTTTTCGGTTATAGGCCAAAAAGCAAGTCTCTCTAGGCTTCCTTTAAATGCTTCTTCACAATACTAAACCAAAATTCAGTATTCATGATGCAAAGGCCTTAAGGATGAGTAAGCGATTTCTCTACATTCCCTTGAAGGAATTCCTTCAGGCTAGAAATGAAAGCTAATGGTACTAGGATATAAAATATTCACCAAAAATATTTTCAAATTTGTACCGGAAGGCGAGCTCTTTAGGTTCTTTCAAAGAAATAATCAGAAAGGGGAAATCCCGAAACACTCGACTGGCTGAACTGAAGAGGTGCCAGAGAAACTGAATGAGCCTAAGGTCAGAGGCGATCTAGGGTGCCCAAAGGGCCGTCTGCTCGCGCAGGGTCAGTGTGCCTCAAAGTCTACACACGCCAAGTGCACAGCTTACATCCGCCGAAAATCTGCCATGTACGAAGGGACAGAGGACACTGAGCTGGTAAGAGGCAGAATATCTAAGTATTCGTCCACGTGCTAACATGTTAAAACTGACTTCCAGCCTTAGTCTAACCCTGGCCAACGTATCAGCTTTGGATTAAGGCATTATCACCTGCAGTTCATGACAAAGCCAACTGTTCCAGTCCCCTCCAAACATCAAGGACCTAGTGGCTGAATTATCTACAGATACAGACTTTTCAAGCCATCCAGAGCTCTAAGGAGGAAATCCAAACTAGGAATTTCAGTAAATGCTCCATTTGGAGGAGGCAGCACCTGACAGCTACAACCCTTTTTGATCAACAGCTTCTTATTAAAACAAAAAAACAAAAAAACTACTACACATTTGCCACTGGGTGAATAAAGGACAGGAATCTGGAAAGCAAGGGAAACAGGAAAATAGACAGGCACAAAGTTGTCTAATTCTCTTGTGGCAGGATTCTTGAACAAGGGAAGGTCATCTCTCATGTATTTCTAAAAACTTACTCTATCCCCATGATACTTACCAGTGAAATTAATTTCAGAATACAATTATAAAAATGTGCTCTTATTTTAAAAGGAAGATAATGCTTTTCACCCCTCAATCAGGAAAGCAAAAAGTCATTCATTTTTATAGTGATGCTCTCCCTCCTCCTTTTCAAACTGATGATCCCTCAGCAAAGGGGGATGGTATAATCACAGAAACAGAGCTCAAATAAGCCACCTGGGTAGGGAGGGGATACAGTTTGTGACTAAGAGCCAGAAGGAAACTAAGTGATACACATGGGGATTGAACCTCTGAACTCTTGTTTTCCTTAGGACATGCCTCAATAGCCAGTGTTACAATAAACGTTCCCAGTAACAAAGATATCACTACCGAGAAAGAAAACTGGTTCATGACAGTGGGAGTCAAAAACTCAGAGTTCACACTGAGTACTCCCACTCAAATCATTTCTGTATCTGAAACCAGCATTCAAAATTTCTAGTACACGTTAATTTATATACAAAAAACGGTGGGAAATATTTACTAATACATCAATTGCTAATAAACCTGGATTTATGTCTTAGCTGCTATATGGGGACCTTGGTCACAATTCATCAAACTTCTTTAAAACGTGACAATCTCAGGTGCCTGGGTAGCTCAGTTAAGCATCTGCCTTTGGCTCAGGTCATGATCCCAGGGTCCTGGGATCGAGCCCGGCGTTAGGCTCCTTGCTCAGTAGGAAGTCTGCTTCTCCCTCTGCCCCCTCCCCTGCCCCATGCTCTCTCTCGTTCTCTCTCTCAAACAAATAAAATCTTAAAAAAAAAAACAAAAAAAAACCCAACTTGACACTCTCTATAATAAGTTAAGCTATCCCTCAGGGATTGTTACTGTTACATCAGGGAACAGAATGCTCAGAAGAAGCTTAAACTCTTTGGAAGATGGTAAAAAATTCAAGATGGTGGTTAATGGATTCCGAGGCCATTCACACTGTTCCACAAAGGATAGCTGCTGGTACCCAATGCATCAGTTTCAAACTCTCAAAGACACAAAAGAGCCAGACTCACCTTACAAACTGATCTCGTCCACCCACTGCAAACTGGTGGGTATTGGCAGGATTCACATAGATCGTATACAGTCCCACTTTCTTCTCCTTCTCTTTTGTCACCACCAGTTTCCTTTAAGAGTAGAAAAGTGTAAAAGTTATATTCTCTAAAAGACCCAGATGGTCATGGCAAGAGAGAGCACAGAGAGTAATGCAGACACAGCTAGTAAGACCAGATTCTCAATGAGAAAGAAAGAAAAAAGTGGTTTTGTTTGTTTTGAACACTGGAACAAGAAAAAGACAAAAATCACCTCCACGTATATTTAATAAATGCTACCTTGGGGAGGGAAAAACAAACGTGTAATGAAGTCATTTTATGGTATTCCTCAAGACGTGTAAATTAAAGTATGTAAAAATATTGCTCCTCGGGTAGTGTCAGTTTAGTTGGAGTCCAACATGATGATAACCTATCATTAAACAGACGATACCACCCACATCTTCCCATATTATATAAATACATTCTCCCAATCATCTGGGAGCAGGGAGAAAGAGGAGGATGAGTCATAAAAACAGTGGCCAGAAAAGCCCTTAAGGTTAGAATCTACCTCCCAGGGGCGCCTGCCTCTCCCTCTCCCACTCCCCCTGCTTGTGTTCCCTCTCTCGCTGTGTCTGTCTCTGTCAAATAAATAAATAAAATCTTAAAAAAAAAAAAAAGATCTTTATTTGAGAGAGAGAGAGAAGGCAAAAGCAGGGGAGAGGGGCACAGGGAGATGGGAGAAGCAGTCTCCCCACTGAGCAGGGAGCCCAACTCAGAGCTCGATCCCAGGTCCCTGGGATCATGACCCGTGCCGAAGGCAGACACTTAACTGACTGAGCCACCCAGGCACCCCTCAAATAAATAAAATCTTAAAAAAAAAAAAGAATCTACCTCTCAGATTCCACAAAAGTGTCACAACCCAGCTCTAAAAATGCACACTTAAGAATGACAAGCCACATCTCTAGCACAGGGACAGTCCAAAGGAAAGCAGCATTCTTCCTTTATCTGAAGCAAGTTAGGAGAGGAGATTCTTATGAAGACAGCTGTCTCTAAAGCTGGAAAGTCACCTCTAAATTACTCCTCTGGTTGTACCACAAAAAAGGGCGATCCTTAAGAGGGCATTGGGGTCCTGAGGAAAACCCTATAAAATTTTAGAGTTTTAGCCAGAAGATTCTGGCTAAAAGCCGTATCTATCCCATCTTAAGGGTGGCACTATGAATACTCTTCCCAAATCTAAGTGTCCAGCCAGTCAAATGGTATCACAGAGATTAGTAAATTTACAGGAAATGAAAAACAGGGAAGGAAAGGGCTAGGTTCTAGCTTTTGTTTTTAATTCTAAGGTTTTGCTCATTCTGTTGTCATGGAAACTGAAAGAAATATAACCATGACAACGAGTTTCTTTGTAAAGAAATGTAAAATCATTTCATCCTCTCTGCACGGTCAAAGTCCCTCCAGCCTAGAACTGCTCTAAGCAAATGGAGAGATTTTACTTGATTTTAAAATCTCTGTAGCTTTCCACTGAAACAGTATATGGGGATGCCTGCATGGCTCAGTCAGTTAAGCATCTGCCTTTAGCTCAGGTCATGATCCCAGGGTCCTGGGACCGAGCCTGCATAGGGCTCCCTGCTCAGCGGGGAGCCTGCCTCTCCCTCTCCCTCTGCCCCTCCTGCCCCACTTGTGTGCTTGAGCGCTCTCTCTCTCTCTTAAATAAATAATAAAATCTTTAAAAAAGAAACAGTGCATGAAGATCATTAAAAATGAATGTCATTAGGGAAAACACACACATACACAACCCTCAAAAACACAAGGTAGAAAATACATCCAAAATGAGTTTAAGGAACAAAACTAGCAGTGGAGAAGAGGCAGCTCTAATCAGGTTTTAGATGGGGGAAAAGCAGATGCTTCTGCTTTTCACAAGATCATCTCATTTTCTCAGCAATGTGGATTTTCAGAAGGAGAGAGTCGGACAAACAAAAGCTGACCACCATGTGGAAGCAAAAGGAAAAAACTGAAGGGATAGATTATGAAATAGGGCTCCACCATCCTGTAATCCTGACAATCAGCTCAATCTTTCTAATGCCTCAATTTATTCCTCTGAAATGAAAAATTCTCTCTCCCAATGGATAAATGCAGAGTACCTCGGGCTCTCTGGGGAACTTGCAGAGGTGCTATAAAAATAATCAATCATGGCAGTAAGGGAAAAAAATTTTTTTTTCACATCAGAAGGAGGGAGCACATGAAAACATAAGAAACAAACTTACCAAATTTTGCCTTTAAATTTGCAGGGTTTTTTAGTAGCAGGTATGTTCCAACAAAAAGGGAAAAAGAACTACAGATCAGACCAAAGAAGTCCTCTGAAGAATATTTCAAATTGGCTTCCACTGGCTAAAGGAATATCCCACCCACAGCTCCAAATCCAACTCTTTTCCTAAAATGTCAGCCAATCTTACCAGCTTCCAGAGACTTAGCTATCATAAATACACAAAAGAAAAGTTCCCATTATGCCAGTTTCACACAAAAATGCCTCTGATGTAAGTGAATGTTCACACACCAGCTTAACACGTAAGGATAGCTTGTATTTTCCAGCCAGGACCTTACATTCAGTCCCCCACCTCAGCTTTCTACTACTTCTTCAACCCCTAAAGCAAAAACTTTTTGAAAATTCAGTCTCTTATTCCCCAAATCCAGGATCTGGGCCTCCTCCTACTTCAAGTTTCTCCTATGTTCCCTCTTTGAATTTCTATCCCATCTATCAGTGCTTGCATCCAGAGCCATTGCTTATGTCATTTCATTCCAAATTCAATAATCTGCCAAAGTCATCTGTTTTGCCCATCATATGGTCCCCAACTCCTTGTGGTCTAATGGTGGTTTTCCTATGACCTGGCAGACAGAATAAGCTCCCACCCTGCTTCCCAACTCTCTACCAGAGCAGACCAAACAAACAGCCCATTTGTTGCATCTTTGTACTTCCCCTCCCCTCTGGAACTTTAGAATGAAAATAACAAGGGGCACCTGGGTGGCTCAGTTGGTTAGGTTAAGCATCCCCTTCCCCTCAGGTCATGATCCATCGGGCTCCCCGCTGAGCAGGGAGTCTGCTTCTCCTTCTCCCTCTGCCTGCTGCTCCCCCTGCTTGTGCACGCGCTCTCTCTCTCTCTCTGATAAATAAATAAAATCTTAAAAAATAAAGAAAAATAAAAGTCTAGTAATAACCAGCTTTGAGATTATATGCCCTAAATTAGCTTATATTCTACTTGTATGCTACGTGAATCAAGACATCCCTTACTTAATATTTTAAGCTAACGACATATAAGATTTGTTAACATCTTTAAGACTTAACAAGAACCGTAAATAATCCAGATAATTCTAGATAAACAAGTCTAGTTATCTAGATAAATCTAGATAAACAAGATAGCAATTTTTTTTTTTAAAGATTTCATTTATTTGACAGAGGCACAGCGAGAGAGGGAACACAAGCAGGGGGAGTGGGAGAGGGAGAGGCAGACCTCCTACTGAGCAGGGAGCCCGATGCGAGGCTCGATCCCAGGATCCCGGGATCATGACCTGAGCTGAAGGCAGATGCTTAACGACTGAGCCACCCAGGCGCCCCGTCCATATACTTTATTATTTGAATTTTTAAAACAAGATGTATTTGCTTATTATAACAACTGAAATTTTTAAAAATAAATTAATTAGTAGCTACAATATAATCAATTCCAAACATGGTGCCAGGCACTATGCTGGGGCATCAAGGACATTTATCATAACACTCACAGAGATGAGAGAGATAAATATTGACTGGTTAGGCCCAAAGGAAGGCTGAGAAACGGACGTTCAGAAAGGTTAGATGGTGGTGCCTGAGTCGCAATCTGACCCATGTCTGTCCAGATCCAAATAAGATGCTCTGATCTTTCTATGACATCACACAGCTAATGAGGAATGTGATTTAACCATGAGCCTCAAATTCACATAAAAAGGAACTGTGATATGACAGAACTCTATTAGAGCTACTAATATTTTTGTGCAAGATTTATCCTTTGTTTACATGTTTCTATACATAATTGAACTGAAAACTAGCTGCTCTGTAATGTGCTTCCTGTGGGTGAGCTGAGTGGCACCCAAGTGGATGGAGAGAGAAACAAGTGATTACAGCCCACATGGAAGATAACCGAGCCTTGTTTTAGAAATGAAGGCAGACTGAACAGCACCGTACTGCTGAGCAGCAGACAGACAACAACAAAGAAGGGAGGAAGCGCCCTCAACCTCAATCTGCTTCTTAGCCCAGGCACAGAGAGACTCTGGATTGACCAGAGAGGTGGGTATTACCTAGGACAGGTGAGGTATTTTCAAGGCCAAGAAGTCCAGTTCTGTAAAAACATTACTGCTACACTTACGAAGCTGGCCGGTCTTGTCTGAGGTCAATGGTGAAGACAACTGCATCTTCACCTGCAGATAGGAACGTACAGGGAGAGTCCGGTTCCAGGGCCAACTGAGGGACAAAAAAACAAAGGTTTCTATAGATTAGAATTAGAAGCCATCTAGTTCACTCCTTTATCTTTAGGAAGGACTGCATTTTTAAATATCTCAGCAAGAGACATGTCCAGCTTTTTTGTTGTAAAACCCCAGGAAAGGAACTAATAAACCCATTTGCTCTTGTTCTATGTGAATTTGTTACAGCTTGTTTATTCCATTCAAATAAAAAGGACAGGAGTTTTGCTATTTCAACTAAGTCCCCAAGGGATCTATCTGAATAAGGATACCAAAGAAAAACATCAACCATTTTGGTTCATTCTCAAACAAAATCAATTAAACTCTCAGATGGGTAGAGAAATGGTGCCCAAGTTTCACTGCTTACACTTTAGTTGTAAAAATTAGTTAACTAATGGGTTGAAGGTAGGCTTAAAAATCAAAGAAATAGGTAACTTTCGTATTTTCTGTGCCATCTGGGCTAGAAAAGGACATTCCAGGTCCACCTACCTATCAGCTTAGGGTTTGTAAAAGAGGTCCACCCTCCTACAGCATGACCACTCTGACATTAGGCAGCTCCCAGCTCCTCACTGGCTGCCCCACAACTGTCTGTTCTATATTCCCAGTCCTAAATAGGGCTTCCATAAATAGTACTGTCTGTGCCCTGAGACCTGAGAGAAAAGTTGGAGCTCTCACGCGTGAGGAGCGACCACTAGGACCTTGGAGCTCTTAAGGTGTTCTAGATACAACCAAAATAAATTTAAGAGGTTTGGAAGACACAGGAGACCTCAAGGATTTCCAAACCAACCACTGGTCAGCTTAGGGGTTAGGTATAATCAACTGAATGCTGAATGTACAAGATCTAGAAAGCTTTCAAATACTGCACTTGCAAGAAGTTTAAGGTGGCTGCTTTTTCTCCTTTTTTATCTACAAATTTTAGGACAAAAGAAATGAGGCAGGTGACACAATGGGCAGAGATCTGGGAAGGCCCTGGCTGAGATCCTTGGTTGAGGAGCTAGACCACACAACCATGAGGGCAAGAGCTTACTTACCTTGTGGGATGCTCCCTTGTGCTGGGCCACACGCTTCGTATTCTTGCAACACTGTGTGGCAGACAGCTCTGCTACCCGCACCTGCCCATCACGGGCACACATGGCCAGAGTGGAATCACCACTGTTAGGAAGGAACTTGGCCTGGGATATTAATGAGAAAAGGGACATACAAAAGAAACTGAGGAGGTGAATTTGAGAGGGGAAAACTGTAATAACAACCCTAACCCATCCCTTTGGTCGCACAACAGCTGGAAACTTAGCTTTCCTAGCCTTATACCGTTGGCTCAACTCCAATTTCTTCCAAGAGTTAAAGAAGAGGGAGGAAAACCTGATGTAAGAGAGCATTTCTGTTGACTCTGCAAGGCTGAACTGGTACAGGGTAAGTGCTCAGGTGAACTAGGACTACGCCTACTAGGGGAGAAATGTAAGGAAAAGAGGAGGAAAACCTATCTTGATTCAGGAAGCAAACAGAAATTTGCTACAAAGGAAACCAGAGGGGCTGTTGGGGAAGTGATCATGCCCAGGAATCAGTGCCAGTACCAAAATGATGGATGGGGCTGGTGAGTAAACAGAGAATGACAAGGCTAACAAATACTCATCAAATGTTTATTAAGCACCACGAATGGTTCTAAACTGCTTAACTTCTATTGTTGTGTAACTCTCGTGGTCCTCTGGGTTATTAGTTCTACACTACAGATTAAAGACAGAGATTAAAGAATTTGCCCAAGATCACAAAGCTAATGAGGGGTAGTGCCAGGAACTGAACCCAGTATGGCTCAAGAGCCTCCGCTCTGACACTGTACGCCTCCCCCCGGGCACACTGAGTACCTTCCTGAGGACTTCCAAGCAGCCCACCTATCATAAGGCTTCCAAATGCCTCTGTGCTTAGGAAAAACAAAAGGCTGTCAACGGGTCTTTCAGGGCATTTAACTCCTCTAAGTCATCACGGGAGCCATGGCAGGCTGAGTCCTGATGCCTAATTCTACCACAACTCACTGTCAGCTCCCACTCCAGGCATCTCAGGCTTGTCTAACTGCTGCCTGCCTTTCTCAATTGCTGTTCCGCTCCCTTGTCTCACCTGGAAGACATTGCTTTTGTGGCCGCTCTCAAAGTCCAGTACTGGCTGCCGCCGCACCCAGTCCCAAACCACCACTTTCAGGTCATCGCTGCCACTGGCCAGCCAGGTGCCGCGCTGGTTAAAGTGCAGGGTGTTGACACAACCAGTATGGCCCTCAAGCCCATGCTGCAGGCGGAAACGCTGCACAAAGACTCTTGCTCCACAAGCCTCATACACAAAGCGGGCACTGGAACCCAGCTCCCGCTCCCGAAGAGCAGGAAGGGCCTGCCAGCGAGGGCGGGGCAGGGCGGATGTCTCAGAAGACACCCAGTCCTCCAGGGCTCGCTCATCATCTGACGAGTCCTGGTCACGGCTGGCCCGCTTCCGCTGGACACGGCGCCGAGGATGCTCTTCCTCCTCCTCTTCTTCTTCCTCTTCCTCCTCCGAGCGGTCATGGACCTGGTTTTCATCGTTGATGGAGTAATGGCCAGTGTCCTCCATGCTGTCAGAGTCCTTATCTTCACCTGAGCTCTCTGTATCTGTACCCCGACTTCCTGGGCTGGTGCGGTTGGGGCCACCATCATCCCCAGTCAAACTCAAGCTCAGGTCTGAGGCCTCCACTTCAATGCCTGAGGATGTCTCCCTCCCCTCCTCAGCACCAGACATCTCCTCTGGACTGCTGGACAGGCTTCCTGCATGTTAGTGAGGAATGGGTGGGTGAGGGGGAAATAAGGAAATGGGAGAGTGATCAGAAGGATGTCCCCGCCTTAGTCCAAGAAATCATCACATCAAAAGATCCAGACACCAACTTTGGTTACAGTGTTTTTGTTCAAATGCTTACAAAGACTACCTTCTGAAAGGGAATCTTGAAAAGGACAAGAAACTGAAAATATTAAGACCAAAGCCACATGCAAATAAAGGTACTTCAACACAAGTGAAGAACTGCAGGACAGCCTAAGAGTCTCCTGCAAAGCACGGACCAGCTGTGTCCAAATACATCCAATACAACCACCTTAAGCTCTGTTCTGCTGGGACGCACATCCATTAGCCACAGCACATAATTAAACCGAATATAAGAAAAAAGAATAGCCATCCCAGCAAGAGTTGGTATAGACATCTTCTCAGAGAAAGGCAGAAAATAAGAGATTAAAATCATTCAGACAATGGGTGTGGAGTTGAACTATTTCTTACGTCAAGAAAGCACCACTCCCCCACCCTTCCTAAATCCTAATTTCTTCCCTTGAGGTCCTATAATCCATTAACAATCCAAAGGAAGTAGAAGGGACAAGTGGGGATTGTGATCATTAGAATGGGTTCTTGCTCACTTTTCACTAATAAATATATCCACTTCCATTAATGTGATGATGTTAATGCTACTATTAGTTAAAGGACTCTTTATTGAGGTAGAGTTTTATCAGGAAGCATACACAAATATCTGAGAAGGAAAGTTCACCATATCCTAGGTCTGCCATGCTGGTGGTTATAAAAGAACTGGGTCACTTTGAGCAATCTAATCCCCGACAATTAGATACTGCATTCTCCTATCTAAGAGCAGCCAAATCATATTTCAGTGAGCACTCCTACAATGTGCTAGAGCCATATGACGACAACTTCCACACTGAAGCCAAGGTATGAAGGAAGGAAGGCGGGAATGAGGACTTTAAACACTATTCACGGCCTCCTTTTCTGATGATTACAAACTTGACGTCGCCAGAAGTAAAGGCTGTTAGGAACAGCAGACCAGGCATGTGCAACGCTGGTAGGATCTATCCAACCCCACAAGGACGTCGAAAGGATTCCAAGTAGCGCCTGACAGCCTAGTCACCTGGACTAGAGCAGTAATTTCCAAAGATCTTTGCAGCAACGGAACCCCTGCACGACAAACTCTCAGGCAAAACCCACCACGGAAAACAGATGAACAATACAAGCACGTTGGTTCAAATGGCCACAGAAGGTTGGGAGACTTGTAAACAGCTCTTTTCAGAAAGTACCTCAACTAAGATCCCAGCATGAAAACAATGGGTGTAGGAACTGGAAGAAAAAGGGGGTAAGTGCAGCAATTTGTTCCTAGGAACTACACTTGCTGAGACCACTGTGTATGCTGAGAAAGATTAGTAGTTTTGGTTTCTCAAATACAATTGGCTTTGAAACTGGGAGTAGTGAGAAAGGATAAAACACCACACATTTCACTTCTGTGGAGAAGGAAAACTAAAACACCAAATCTCCTAGCATTTCTTGTTAAAATTATGATTAACCAATCAAGACGACTTGGGAGCTCTCCCATATTAACACAAGGGCCAGAGTCAATCACAAGCTCAGCAGGGGGACCCTAACGGTCAGTGACCAAGATCCAGAGGTCAACAAATTTTTTCTATCAAGGGCCTTCACAGGCCACATGCAGGCTGGATCTGGCCCTCAGGCCATAGTCTGCCAATCCCTGATCTAGCTGATGGCCAAATTCCAAATCAGTTATATACCTCAAACCACCTAGAACCCTGAGTCTCTCAACGAAGCCCAGTGAAAAATCTGAACCACTTTCTTTTACAGATGAATGAACAGCACTGGTAAGAGAACACAGGGTCAATAAACAGCATGTTGAAAAATCTCACTTTCCCTTACTTAACTTCACTGCTCTACCAATCTCATCAACTGGAATTGAGCCTATAATCCTGATCTGCAACGTGCTAAAGAATGCTGAACACTGTGCTGCCCAATCATATCCATTTGAAGGACATTTCTCTAGTTTAGAAGTTGGCTCAGGGTTCAAGCATTAATCGAATAATCTGTTATCAAAATCTTGATATTCTACCTTCAAACGTGCCTTAGACCCAGTGAATTCACACCTAGCTAGACCCTACAAAGAACGCAGGCCAGCCCTACTCCAGTCAGTTTAGGCTGTAACTTCATCTCTCGTCTACTATCTCTACCGAACTAGGACCTGCCGTAGAAAGAGACCTCTCATCACAACTAGGGAACCTTACCTTCCCACAGCTCCTTTGTTTCCACCACCAACTGATCTTTTCCTTCTAGGTTTCAGCCACTCTTACAACCTTTCAGAATTCCAAACTACTTGAACTCCTCCTAATGGCACACCTCTATTATTGATTTTCTGGAAACAGATAGAAGTTGAAGGAACAAAAGTACCAGATAGTTCAGGGTATCTCCTGTGTAGCTTTCTACACACAAAACAACACAGAAAGGGTCCACTCTTAGGAAAGATTTTCTTCCCTCCACTAAAATCCAGGTCTCCACTTTCTTTGGGGGAGAAGAAGAACCTCAGGTGGCCCCTTACCATTGGCTAAGTCTGTTTTGCCATCTGCGCTGCTCCCTTTGCTGGACATCTTGAATGATGTTTATTGTGGCCAGCCTGCATTTAGGAAAGGAAGAAAATGAAACAATTAGGAAATAATCTGGGAGAGAAGATAAAAGGGACCGTACATTTAACCATGCACAGCCTTTGTCATTTTCATAAAAATGATTTTTTGAGGGATGCTTGGCTGGCTCAGTCAGTAGAGCACACGACTATTGTTCTAGTGCTCTAATGCACTAAGTTCGAGCCCCACATTGGGTGTAGAGACTACTTAAAAAAAAAAGTTTTGAGTGTGTGCTCAACAGGGCTTGTCAGCTGCTGAAAATGAGACTGGATCCCCCTCCCCTATGTCTAAATTCCATAAAGGGACATATCTTTGGGAGGTCAACTGCCATCTCTTTACCTGAGTAGCTGGCAGTGATTTCTGAAATGGGAAAGAAGGAACCGAGATCAAACCTGCACCAGCAGGCATATACCCAGTGACAGGTACTACAAGCAGAGAGCTCTAACACAAAGAGCTGGCTTCAGCCTTGCCCTCTAGGCAAGAATCTTCTGTTGTAAATTTAGTCATATATTTCATCCATAAGTTCTATGAAAGACATGTCTTCGTAACATGAAGAGGCGGGTCAGACTCTGAATATCACCTTACGCACAAATCAAGAGAGACAGAAGAGACCGAGCTATTGGGGTGAGAGCTTGGGCCGTATATTCACTCAGGAGCCAAGCTTCAAACTTAACAGGCACAGGTATTAACTACGGATTATAAGAAGTAGAGCCAAATTAGAATTCAGGAGGACCCTCCCCCCAAGAAAGAACCTAAAAGGTTTCTTTCTTCCTCTTACAACTGGGGAAGAAAGTTGTAAGCTGGGGAAGAAAAGGGCCACATTTCCATTAAACCATCTCAGTCCATTTCAAAAGTGGCAAACATCATTTCACCTAATTCCACCAACTTTCACCAGATTTGTCTGTTTGGCAAAGCCTTATCTGGGAATCGGGGTACCTAGCTTTTTTCCTTTCATACCACTGTAACACATTCATTATTTTGACAGGGCCTCACTCCCACCTCGAGCGAATTCCAAAGAGCAAAGAATAATATTATTCAGACCAGAATTTTGTTAAGCCCTTTCAGTGCCTGGACAAAAGGCACTGGTCAAAGACAAAGTATGATTATGACTCCAGTCCTCGTACCCAGGCACACTGGCTTCTAATCTTTCAACAGCCCTTTCATTCCCATAACAATTATCCCAGAAGCAGCCCCATCCTTATCCTGACCCCCTACTCTCCTCTACAGAAATCCAAGTTGCTTCAAAAAGTGTCCCCTGCCAAGAGACAGCTGCCCAAAGCTTGCTCCGCAGGCCAGGGCGGGGGAGTAGCAAAAACACACGGGCAGGACGGAGGCCGAGTCTGAGGAAGGACCTGGAAGGGTGCTGGGATGCAACGCCAACAAAGCACAGATTTGTGCAGCCACGTCAAAAACACCAGCGAAGAGCGGTTTGCAGAGCAGGCTGTTTTCCTCCTCCTACTCCAAGGAGGTATTTTTGCACAGCATTCTTCACACAGCACTGGTTTTTTCCTGTTGGTAGTCCCTATTTATATTCTTGAGCATCTCGGCAATATCTTCTTCCCCACCGAGGGTTTAACTTAATTACATTAACTGCAAAAGTCCTGTGAGATGGGGAAAACAAGCGCACTACTTTGTTAAGATTAAAGACTCAGGTCATAAGCACACGTTCCGGTCAACTGAGAGAGATCTGATGTTTCCTCACCTCCAGAAGCAAAACTCTCAACCATACCATACTGTCCACCCCACCATTATCACTTTCCAAAGAAAAAAGTGGCTCCAGAGACCCTTCCTCAAAACTGAACTGCATCAATTCCTACAGAAGCCCAGACTGCCTGAGCCACAGACACATAAGGCGCTAGAGAATCCATTTGCTCTCCCAGCCTCCATGACCAGGAGGAGCCAGAGCTCCCAGCCCTGAGAGGCGGGAAAAGCAGAGCCATACGGGTCAACCCATACTGAGAGGTTGCAGAGCTTCTCTTCTGGGGAAAGTGGTTTAAGGTTCTTACAAAAAGAGATCTTCTTTTTGAGGAAGAAAAATTGACAGAATGTATTGCTAAATTCAGAAACAGGGACAACCCTGTGAATGCTCATGCCAACCCTGTTTAATCACAGAGTTGGTAGGCAGATAGCTTCTAAAGGTCACATTTTAGGGGCCAGAGAGTTTAGCAAAATTAGTTCTAGACTGAAAATCAGTCCAGGGTTGTAATATCAGCTAAACCATTAGTATCCTTTCTGACCATGAATGAGCTACTTAACCTTCTCTAGACTTCCTTTTCTTTTTTTTGTAAGCTAGTATTAGTAATTCCAAGATGGTACAGGTAAGTAGAATTATATGTTAGAAGCTCTGCAGCAGGATGCTCTGGAGCAGTGGTCTCAAAACGGATTATAAACCCGGATCAGTGAAAAGTTTTACCATGAATCTTCAATATGTAGATCTAATCAAGTCACATTAAATACTAAGTTTAATTTTTCTAGAAAAAAATAAATTCCAACATTCTTTTTCTATACATTACTGGACCATCTTCAATGCCCCTTGGGGTGCACACCTTCCCCCTTTGGAGGACCACTTTTTCAAAAAGCCAAGAAATGATGACAATAAAATACAATCACTTTGGAAATGACCTGTTATTCTTATCGTATACATTTCTATCAGAATGAAGAAATTTAAAACCATCTCAACTCTGGGGCAGGAGTTAAAGTATCCAAATTAAAATAGGCAAGATGCTGTGACGGTGCCCTTGGTCTCAAGTATAGGAACCATTCTAGAATCTCTTTCATCACCAAAGAATATAACCTTATTTTACAATCAGAAGTTAGGGACCATACTTGACCCAAACATAAATTAGCTTCTTCATTCTTTAATGCACTACATTCCCAACAAATCCACTGCTTTTACCTTGATCAATTTCCATGTAAAATCCAGTCCAGAGCAAACCAATCTGAGCCTGGAAGAGCTGATGAGCTCACTGTCCCAGGTAGCTGGGGGAGTTTAATTAGATTAGCTCTACTGCCTACACTCTAAAAATAACCATAACCCCTGCCAAACTGAAGGTTAAAGAGTAAACTATTGGGGGATGGGGGAAAAAAGATTCAAGTGCCATTTTAATTTCTACCCTAGAAATTCCAGTGACCTAGATTTCTCTTGTGTCAATAAAAAGGCTTTAAATTTTTAACCAAATATATGACAAATTATTAACTAAAAACCAAGCAAAGGGGCAGGTAATACAAAGTATAAAAGTACTTTGTGGAAGAGGTACCAAACATGTCTTGTTTAAAACTACTGGGGCTGCTTTCTTTTCCTAATATTGATTAAAGATTTGTGTAAGAGACCACATACACCAGAGCAACAGGACATCCAAATGCCAAAAAAAAAAAGACAAGAAAAGAAAAAGGAAAAAACGGCAAGGAAAAAAGAACACAAGAAACCTTGACTTGTAACTTGTACAATATACAAAAACTAACTCAAAATGAATCATAGATCTAAATGTAAAAGCTCAAACAATATAACTTCCAGAAGAAAACAAAGAAGATAATGCTTGTGATACAGGTTAGGCAAATATTTAAGGACTCAAAATAAATAAATAAATAAATAAATAAACCACACAAACCGTGAAAGAAAAAATTAAATAACGGGACATATCAAAATAAAAATTTATTCTTCAAGAGACACTACTAAGAAAATGAAAAGACAAGCTATGGACTGGAAGAAAATATCTGCAAAAGACGGATTTCATAGAGGGCAGCAGCCCAAGTCTACTTCTCACAGCTAAATAACAATCACCTGAAAAGATGCTCAACGTTTTCAGCCATTAGGGAAATGCAAATTAAAACTACAATAAACCTCTATACGCCTATTAGAATGGCTAAAACTTATTAAAATAATAACAATGAAAGTTTCCTTTATCAAGTCCTAACAAGGAAGGGAGCAACTAAAGTCCCACACGCTGCTGGTAGAAATGCAAAATGGCAGTCACTGTGGAAAACAGTCTGGCAGTTTTTTATAAGGTCAAACACAAACTTACCATATAACCCAGGAATCCCACTCAGGTATGTACTCAAGAAAAATGAAAATATATGTTCACCCAGAAACCTATAGGTGAATGTTTTCTTTAGTGGCTTTATTTAGATTCACCAAAAACTGGGAACAATCAAATGTTCTTCTGCCAGGTCATGGATAATACGTAAGTTGTGGTCTAGCCACACAGTGGAATACTACTGAGCAATAAAAAGGAACAAATTATTGATACACAAAGCAATGCGGATGAGTGGCAAATATGTCATGCTGAGTCAAAGAAGCAAGACTCTGACAGCTACGTAATGATTCCATTCATGGGACGTGCTAAAAAAAAATAAACTATAGGGACAGACAGCAGAACATGGTTGGTCGGGGAAGAGAACTGACTGCAAACAGGCGTAAGAAAACTTCTGGAAGTGATGGAAATGTTCTATGACTATGACCTTGGTGGTGTCATGTGACTACATGTTTGTAAGAATCCACAGAATGAGTCACTGAGAAAAGGTGTAAATTTTACATGTATATAAATGATACCTCAAGAAGTCAGGCAAAGCGTTAAATGATGGCCAAAGCCCAACAATTAAAATTAAAAATACTAAATTCTCGGGGTGCCTGGGTGGCTCAGTCATTAGGCGTCTGCCTTTGGCTCAGGTCATGATCCCAGGGTCCTGGGATCGAGCCCTGCATCGGGCTCCCTGCTCAGCGGGAAGCCTGCTTCTCCCTCTCCCACTCCCCCTGCTTGTGCTCCCTCTCTCGCTGTGTCTCTCTCTGTCAAATAAATAAATAAATAAAATCTTAAAAAAAAAAAAAACAACTAAATTCTCAGGGCTGGGGCACCCGGGTGGCTCAGCTGGTTAAGCATCCGACTCTTCATCTCTACTCAGGTCTTGATTTCAGGGTCGCAAGTTCAAGCCCTGTGCTGGGCTCAAATGCTAGGCATGGAGCCTACTTAAAAAAATAATAATAATTAGAGTAAAATTAAAAATACTAAATTCTTAACACTGTGACTATTAACAGAAGTTAGCTCAAGTGGTCAATATGCCACAGTAAATGAGAGCAAAACATCAGTTCTTGTTTGAAAAAGAAAGTACAGGAGGAGTTTGGCTGCAACCAAAGCCACCTGTGATTTACCAGCAATGCCATGAAAGGCAGGATGAATCCTAAACTTATAAAAAGACTCCAATCCCACCATCTTGGTGACAACTAAAAGTATTGGGAGCTTAAAGTAGTTCAAAACAGTTCTGTGGTTGTACTAATTTGTATACTTAATGCTTCTTAATTTTATTTTTTAAATTTCTCTCAAATTTTCATTTTAACTCCCTTGGGGTCTAGGAAAATGGGTGTGATAATTCTTCCTCAGTTCAGGTCTGATGGGAGCATCAACAACTACAAACATTACAGTCCCTGATCCCTTTTACTAAGACCCGAGCTCACCCACCCCGTGAGTCCCCATGACTTACATAAGCCCAGCAGTCTGGCTTGGCGCACCTCTGCAACTCAAGTGCCCAGCTTTCCTACATCAACCCCCATAAGTTAAAGTGGACAAAGCTTTAGAATCTCCTCTGAAACTGAAAAATGGTGGTAGAAAATACTTCTATTATTAGAACAGATATCTGAGAGTCACGCAGTGTCTGGCTCCTCTTGGGAGGACAGACGTCCCAACACACCCATAACAGGACAGCTGTTCAGGGCCCATCTCCATCCACAGGACAAACTTGCCTTTCTGCCCTGGGCTCTGTGGTCCATCTGGAATCGACCAGTCCTACTTTCCCCATCCCCAACTGTGGTTTTCAAGCTGAAATGGCTCATTTTAAATTCATTCTCCTCACTTTATTTCTCTACTTCACAATAAACAGCTCCTCTAGCCAACTTTCCTGACTCCTGCCACGAGCCACACTCCCACTGTATGGTGTTTATCAATCAGAGAACCGCGGGCACTGAAATTCAAAGGATAACCCCAAGGAAACTGAAACTCATACTATATACAACATGTTTACAGGGGGATAGGCCTTTAGTTCTAGGCCACTCTCTACTGAGTATTAAGAGAAGGTGAATATCCTACAATGTCTCCTCTGGTACACTGACTGGAGAGAGGAGCAGAAAGAAACTATAAATGTTTCTGGATCAGGAAAATTAATCTCTATTCATGTTGTGCAGAAGATCTGACAGCACGGGGCAACCTAACCGTACAGCCCTCCAGCTGCCCTTGTTTATCCAACTCTAGGCCTCTGGCACCCCCCAGTGGCCCATCTATACACAGACAAGCTGGTCCTGCAACAACCTACGAGGCAACCCAGGAGGTACAAACACATCCAAGGCAGTCCTAATCCCCTCTGAAGCCAGTCATCAATTAGGGAAAATGAGTATATACAACGATGACAGAAGTGACACAAGCATTAGTGTCATAAAAAAAGATAAACTCAGCTTTGAAGGGGGGATAGGATTTCAGTGGGTAAAGCTGAGAAAGACCAGGACAAGGATGAGAAAATACAGGGAAGATGAAAACCCTGGTATGTCCAAGTCTGTTTGGGCTGGGTCATGGGGTGCACATGCTGATCAGTTAAAAAGGTGCATGGGGGGTGCTCAGGAAAATGATTCTGTCAAGGACAGGACTGAAATGGACAGAAAAGGAAGAAGAAACAAGTTTAAAACCTTCCAGTTGTTGAGGTAAAAAGCACTGAGCGCCTGTCTGAGGCTGCTGGCTGAGGAAATGAGAAGAAGGGAACGGATATGAGGACCCTGACGAAGCAGAGCAGACCGTACCTGGTTCAACGGTAATTACGAAGCGCCCCCCCAAATCAAGAAGACAAGTCTGAGTCGGGGTGCCCAGGGGAAATCAATGTCATAAATGAGAAGCTGCCATGTGTGGGAGAAGAGATGAATCTGATTTTGATTATGTTTAAAATCCAAGTTGACATGTCAGGAAGGTAGTGGAAAACAAAGGTAGGTCTGAAATTTGAGAAATTAGGGTCAGAGATACGGACTTGGGAATTACTGTACAGAGAAGCTTCAAAATCAACCACTTGTAAGTTATACCTCACTAAAAGACCAAAAATTTAAGTACCCAAGAAAGGTGAAAGAGTCCAAGGAAAAAATCCTTCGGAACACCAACCTTTAGGAAAAGAAATAAAAGGGAGACTGAAAAACACGCGGGAGAGTGGAAGGAATAATGAGTGTCAAACATCTCGGAAGTCAAGAGATAAAAAGGTTTCAAGAAGGTGGGGACCATCCACGTTTCAAATGCTTCAGAGAAGTACAGAAAGAGGCAGATTGAGGAAAGGCTCTGAGAGTCAGAACAGTGTTCTGTGGAGTTACCTCCGGTGTGGAGGGAGAACGCCATTTTCTCCCTCTTCAAGGATCAAAAAAGGATCCAGTTATCTCCTTCAGTGTAGTTACATCCATTAAAGTTCTTTCCTTAAAAAACTCATTAGCCTACCAATTAATCACAAACTGAGACCCATGCTTAAACAATTCAGAAATGTTTTTATTCATACTGTCATGTGGACAGACCTTTTATACTTTACATATGCTTTTATAAGACATACTGAACTCTTCCTTTCAACTCATTTGTTTCATCAGTTGGCACTGAAGCGCCCAGGTATCTAAAGACAGCGCAAGGTATAATAAAAAAGGGTTTCCGGTGTCAGTCAGACCTGGGTTTGAATTCTGATTCTACCACTTAAGTCTGTTTCTCCTTCCATAAAATGAGACAATACCATTACCCTGCAGGAGCTGGTTTAGAGAATTAGAGACAACATTTTTGCAAACATGTACAAAATCTAGCTTCTCATTTCTGCTTCCAGACTGCATTTCCTAGAGAAGCCTGGGCTTCACCACTCAGCAACAATCCTTCAAACACTGTACACAACCGAGGACACAGTTCCAAGTCTATAAAATCTGCTTCCCTGCTCTCACTGGCCTCTGAAAGAATCAGAGAGCTCTGTCAGTATCTCTTGAGCACATTCATGCTCTATGAACTACGGTAAAGCAATATACCCAGGTGCCCAAAATATAAGCCTCCCACTCTTTCAGTTCTTCTCCCTCTTGAAGGTTCACTGGATAGCCGAGAACTTCAAAGCAATCCTCACAGATGATGAAGAAAACAAGGAATTCCTGCAGCAACTATACTACGAACAAGGAACTTCATTCCTCCTTTGGATGAATGCCTTCTCTCCCTGTTGGTAATACCAAATGCCCTCTGTTTATAGTTTATTGGCTTTAATCCTAATAACGGTATTTCAGAATATGTTAGGAATGCATGCTAATTCTTAAGTGCTGTCAGCAGCAATACAGCTAAGGAACTTTTTATGGCCATATTTAAGCCCATTTACCTCAATTTAAATGATTCTAAGGAAAAGTCATTTCTAAGGAAACTCCACTCTGTTTCCACAATGAAATGATTCACGTTTACATCAGAATCCAGACCCCATTACCAGTTTTTACCACTCACATTTCACATTTTTCTTTAATCACTGGAAAGGACACGGAAGTGTGGCACTCCAAAGATACAACTGACAATAAAACAATAAAAACAGAAAGGCTAAAGACATCAAAAGTGCCCTCCTACCTGCACTAGGTGAGAGGACAGAGTCTAACGCTGGGTCCTAGATAAGGTTAGAAACATGTCTGATAATGTGGCAAGGCTTAAAGTACACTAGAGGAATATAGCCTCCTGGCTACCACCAGAGGTGAAGCCTACAGATCTCCAGATGGCTAAGAAAAACCAAGAACAACAACAGAAGGACATGAGAGGCAAGCATGGATGCTTCGCATTAGAACTTCAACAGACCTCCTTAAATAGTATCATCAGAGGGCAAGAGCAAATACCTAACCTCTCAGATGCGATACTAAAAATGTTTGCAACAACACAATCCATTAGACATACATTTCAGTAATAAGATGCCATCTTTGTCATATTAATCACTCCCCATGCCCTATCTGCAAACTCAGAGCAGGCTCAGTTCATTAATTTATCTTTAGCATACACATTCCAGAGGTTAAGGCAAGTACTTGAGAAAGTGGGCTTCTGGCCCAGAAACTATGTCCTATGGAGACAGAGATAAAAGCCTGCTGTAAAGAAGTGTGACCAATTCACAAAATTCATTACACACTAACTTTCAAAGACCTTTCAAGGACTTTCTTCTCCAAGAAAATAACTGAATCAAGAACTTCTGACCAATCTTAACAGTGACAAAGTTTCTCTATTTTATTCACAAAAACATTAAGACGAAAAGTTTTCAATATTACTGCAATGCTAAGCTAAAATCACTGGCATCTGTCTCTGATATTAACACACACATGTCACCACCTCCACGTCTGTTGCTGATTCAATTCTTTCAGTCAGTTGCCTGGGTTCCAGATTGGGTGACAGTAAGTAGATTACCTTGGCTTACTGATAATTTGCTTTTTTAAAAAAGAAAAAGCTAATTCAATCTTAAAAACTAACTTAAACACCAATGTCATGCAATAAAAAGCTCTGTTTGGATAACTCTGTCTTTTATAATCTGCACCATTCCCAGACAGGTTTAGAATAACTTTTCTACAGTAGAAACAATCCAGAAACAAACCAATCTCCTGAAAACAAATTTAATTAGTCGCTTCATGATGTTAAAAGCCTGTAACTCACCTGCTAGAACACAGGACCAAGAGCATGAAAATCTGAAGGTCTGTCTCCCACAACAGAGCGCACTTCTGCAGAACGTCTTCTCCTAGAGTCCTTTTGCTCTTGAAATGTCAGTATTGTTTTAAACTGGCAACAAAAAGGCTGCTTTCTTTTAGCTCTCTCTGAAGACAAGCTTCTGTCTTAGGTTGATCCTAGTCAACACTAAGGATCACAGCACTGGTACTGGTTTCTATACATTCCACAGACCGCTGTATAAAATGCCCTGTCAGGTTGGCGGTGGGAATTAAGGTCACAAGCAAACCTAGCCTCCCACTTCAGCCATACTAGGAAATACTTCCTAATAAGATGTGACAATTCTTATTCAACGCCCTAAAACATAAAATATCTTCAGAAAGGTTAAGAATTTTACAGTTGTGGTCCAGAGACTAAGAATACTGGTTCACTGTATACAAAGATGTCACCTGGAGCTCAGAATGTGAAACCCCTGGGGGAGGAGGGATTCTTACCCAGCACACAGAGAGGAAGAAAGTTATGCCTCTTTCAACATATGTGCTTTTCTCCTCCCAACCCCACCCCTCACCCAACACAGATCTCCAGATCTCATAAAAACACAATAATAAAAATGCACTCTCAGCCCACCTCAAAACCCTCAATCCAAAAGTCTACTTTTCAATAGGAGAATTTAGACCCTGGATGGTGGTAATGAAAGCTGATCAACTCTAATTTGATCACTGGCCTGAATGAATACAGTTGATTTCACTGCAATATTATCAACACTTTTAATTTTCATGTGCCCTTACCTCCCCCAAAAAGATGCAGAAGAAAAACCAATAAGAGAAGGTTAAAAACCTGCATCTTTGCCATCATATTGTTAAGATGGTCCAGCTAGGGAGATGAACTAAAATGTTCTGCACTCCCTGCTCCCTAGCCCAGACTCACTTCCAAGAACAAGGAGACCTTTTCATGGTCTAGTTCTCTGATGATCTATTGATGAGGATCACTGCAGAGCCCAATAGCTTGGAAAAAATGTATTCTCTTCAAGGCAAAAAGGAAAAAGCATAACGGGTAGCTGGAGCAGAGGTGGTGAACAACACTGAAGCAGCAAGGGAAGGAATTACAATCCTTGTGTCAACGCTGATCAGATGTGCTAACAGAGACCAGGAGGAAGGAAGCAATGAACTATGGAGAGGTACTGATGTTTAGTCTAAGAATGCATTTAGAGATATACACAGACTGACAACTAATATTTCCGCTGTCCTCTGACCTTGAACCCCCAAAACACGTACCTCAGTCATGTTCAGAAAATAACTCTAGGTGTGTACCCACAAAGCATACATCTAAGCTGACCAATTAAAAATGATTTAAAGAGAAAAAAAGAAGTGTAGACTAATGCATACCTTACTCAAGGCCATAGCAACGATGTGTAAAGAAAACATTTTTTTTTTAATGTCTATCATATGTCAGGCATTTAACAGCTTTATGTAGGTTCCCTCATACAATACTAACAATGACCCCAAGAGGTAAGCGGCATTATCCCACTTTTAGAGATGTGGAAATTAAGAGTCAGAGAAGTTTAAGTAGCTCGCCCAAGGTCACATGGCCAATAAATCTTAGTATTTAAACCCAGGTCTGTCCAGCTCTCAAGGCTGTATTCTCTCTTTACATCTTACTGATACACATACATGCCACCAATAATAATCTTATTCCAGTTCATTTTCTTTTTTTTTTTTTTTAAAGATTTTATTTATTTATTCATGAGAGACAGAGAGAAACAGAGGGAGAAGCAGGCTCCCAAGGAGCGGGAAGCCCAATGCGGGACTCGATCCCAGGACCCTGGGATCATGACCTGAGCTGAAGGCAGACGCCTAACCATCTAAGCCACCCAGGCGCCCTCCAGTTCATTTTCTAATCAGGACACCATGAGGAACAAAACTTACCAGTGTCACACTCAACCTTTACCTACTACATATCATAAAGGTATTAAGAATCAGCCAGGCCTACCTTCCAGAGCCACTCAGCTCTTCTGTCACATCCCACGGACGTCAACCACAGCACTATTCTCTGCTACCAGAAACCTAAGAGTCTTACAAAGATTACATTTACAAGTATGTTCAGTACTTGCAGGGAATCAGTACTCCCTCTTTGGCCCTGGCCCATGCTGCTAAATGCACAGGATGATTCCTCTGCTCACCAAAAACTCTTCAGAGCAGCTATAAAAGAGCAGCCAGCTTTTTTTTAACCCCGAATTTACTACTATGTCCTGAAAAGTTGGAATTCTGAGGTAGACTGAACTCAGACACCAACTGACAGCAGCATCACTTACCAGCTTTTAGTGACAAGCAGCTGGATTCTCCTCTAAACAGAAACAACAGTCCAAAGCCCTGAGAAGGGAAGAGACTTGATTTGACAAGAGGCTGAACAGAACTCAGGCAAACGAATTCCCAGCTTTTAACACTGTAAGAAACATGGTCCACACAAAGGCAACACGCAAGGCAAATGAATAAAGGAAGAGGGAGACACACTCACGTCTAGGCTTAAATGGAGTTATTCGAAGATACACAGCAGTAGTTCAGGACAGAAAGTCAAGACGCCCACAGACAATAAAACTTGTCAAAGTAATTTAACCAGAGTGGAACACAGCCAAGAACAATACCCCAAGTCTGGGACACTGGGGTAGGAATTTTATGACTTCAGTGGTCAGCGCTTGAGCATCAGGGTAGGGTCTGTCTTGGCCTCAGGAATTTAAACGCCTTCAACTCCTACTCACCTTTCCTTCTTTATCACTGAAGTAGGGCCAGGCTGAGCTCCTGAGAAAATAGGTCTGTTGATTCCCTGAAGGGCTGAGAAAAGTTAAAGTTTAAATGGCAAAGGTATCTCTACCAAACATAATAAAAATATTTATGAATACATTTCAGAATCTCTTCAGACCGCCTCGGTATGATCTAAAACCAGAGTAACGCTGAACTACTGAACAAACAACCCGCAGCTACAGAAATAAAACGAACCAGGCAAGTCGTCTCCCGGCTCCCCTAAAACGCAGAAGTCATTTAAAAGGAAAACCGGACTCTCTCCAACGCTAACCCATGGCCAAACCTCTCAACAAGAAGCCACACAGCAGGGGGAAGTCCCGGAGAGAACGGGCCAGCGCTAGTGCCGGTTTGTTTACAGAGACTTCAGCAACAATCCTAGGAGTCAGAAATTCAAGCCACCAGATGCTTTCCAGCCAACAGGGCGCAAAGGGTACGGTTCTGCGGCGCCCTGAAGATCTGGGGGTGAGGGGAAGGAAGCTGCGAGAACTGGATTACAAGGGGCACAAGCGCACACGGCAACAACTGACTCGGACCTCGGCCTTCCGTACGAGGTGCTGGGCCCGAGGACTCGGGATGGGGGAGGGGGCACCCTGCGCGGCGGCCCCGCGCGACGGCGAGACGCAGGGCGACCGCTTCCCCCCGCCGAAGGGGTGAAAACGCGCACACACACGGGTCACCCCAGGGGCAAAGACGTCCCCGTGGACTGCGGGGCAGGCTCTTGGGGGCAACCCCGGGGCTGCCCTGAGGCAGGGGCAGCCGGTCCTCCCGGCGGGACTCGGCTCAGGGCCAGGAAAAGACCTGAGCCCCGGGAGCTTGGGAAGGGAATCCAACCTATCCTGACGGGGAGCGGGCCAGGGGCGAGGGGGTCAGGCCAAGCCGGAACGAGACACGGACCGGGTAGGTCAAGGGGGGGGTGTCCGGCTGGGGCAGTTACAAGCACGGGAGCCGGCGAGGCTCAGCAGCCCGCCTCCCGTCTTGGGTCATCCTTCTGCCAGCGGCTGCTCCGACCGTTCCAGGCCCAGCCGCCCCGTCCACTGCCGCCACCGCCGCCGCCGCCATCTTACACTGGCCAGCGGCCGCCACCACCACCGCCTCCGCTCTCGGCGCCTGCGCCTGCGCCGCCACGCTTTCCGGCCCCGTTTGCGACGAGGCGCTGGAGGAGACTGAGGGAAGAGTGGTCGCGCGAGCTCTCCGCTCCCAGCCCTCCTCGGAGGACGCAGAAGGGGCGGGGCTTAGGGGCAACGGAAAGAGCAAGGGGCGCGTGCGCACTCCCGGGAGGCGAAGTTGTTTTGGCCGCGTGGTCCGAGGGGCTCGCTTTCCTCGCGCAATCGAAACAGATGCGAGTGAGGGACCTCCCGGACTCGCGGTGGTGGGACGGGAATGAACTTCGTGGCTGGCGGGCTGGCGGGCAGCTTCCTGGGCGGCCTCCATTTTTGCCCTGCTTTTGAATACTGGAAACAAGCAGTCGTCGCCGGGTTTCCTCTGAAAACCCCATTTCCTTTGAGGACCTGGTTTTCTTCAGTGGTTTTTACACCTTCGAGACCCGCTTCCCCCCGAGAGCGTCCATGCCCCCATTTTCCAATGAAAAGAAGGGATTCGGAAGCTTAAGGTGCAGCCGGGCTATTCCAGAGGCTGTTTCTCCGAAGGGGGTGGTGTGCTGTGGGTTCCCCAGAATGGGCTTGGTGCTGTGCGCTCTGCTCCGTTCTGACACCTAAAGGAAGCTTGCAGAAGTCTGGAAAGGTGGCCGCCAGGCGCGGGGATTTTTGACCAGGCCAGGGCGCAATCATCTGACCCCTTTCACCTCCTCTATCGCTATCATCTACTATTAGGTCATTACGTATTACTTAGACTGTTGCAACGGACACCTCGCTGGTTTGTCTACTTTCACTATTGACCTGCCAGTTAAACAGAAGGCAGCCAGTGTGACCCTTTAAAATTTAAGTCAGGTCATATTATTACCCCACAACCCATATTATTACCCCAAGTCTTCCCCATCACACACGCACACACACACACAAAGTGATCACAGTGGCTTCCATCGAGGGCCTTACGTGTTGTGGCACGTTTCTCCGATTTCATCTCCTCCCTTACTACCTAACTCTGCTCTATCCTTATTGGCGTTCTCCACTCTTAACTCCAGCCAAAGCATGATCCACCCTTAAGGCTTCTGCATTTGTTCCCTATTCTTGGGATACTCATGTACCAGATCTTTACTAGACTTGCTCTCTCCACTCAGATCTCTACTGAAATCCTACTTATTCTGAGAGGCAGCTCTAGACTGTTCCAACTAAAATGATATTCTACACCACCATCCTCTGTCCTCTTACTCTGCATTGTTTTTTTTCCTAACATTTTTTACCTGTGAACATTTAACCTATAATTATGTATCTGTAATCTAAGTATACTACTAGAATATGAACTCTGTAATGGCAGGGACTGTATCTTTCTCACCTTTGTAACCCCAAACCTCTAGAAGAGGACCAGAGCACAAAGTAGCTGTCTGATGCCGTACCGTTCTATCCGTTCTTTCATTCACTCTGTCAACATCTGTTGAATTCCCATAGCATGTAAGGCCCTGTTCTAGGTACTGGGGCTGAAGCAGTAAAAAAAACAAACCAAAATTCCTGCATTCACAGAACTTATTTCCCAGGGCAGAGGTTGGGGTGAAAGGGGAAGACAGGATCACACAGACAATAATATTAAAGTTATGAAGACCAGTGGAGAATAAAGCAGGGTTTACCTGAGTAGGTGTGCTCTTTTACTGAGGGGGTTCAGGAAAGGCCCTCTGCTGAGGTGACATTTGAATAAAGATTTGAAGTGAGAGAGT